CAAAATCTCTAGTCTAACATTGAGATTAGTAAGAAAATGAATACGCTCAAATTCCTATGTTTACTAAGCTTAGCAGAAACAGACGAAGACGTCCTTCGTGACTACAATCAAATCACAAGAAAGGGTTAAACTTAACTGCTTAAGAAATACAAGAAGAGGGAAAAGTAGAACCTCCGTCAAGGATCGGCGGCAATCTTCCACTCGACGATCTCATGTTGTTCTTCGATAGCTTCAACCAAGGTGTCCAAGATACGCTCTATGTAGTCTTCCACCGTATGGTCGATTCTCGGGTTGATGTAGAAGAAGGTTGAGTGGAGAATGTGCACAAATCCGTGTTAGTCGTAAGCAAGTCTGTAGTCAGTGTTGGGATCGGCCATTCATGAATGCTAGTTGACAACTTCTTCCCAAAGATTGCTAGTACTCTTGAATATTGTGAAGAGAAAGAAGTTTCTTTTCAACCTGAAGTGGGGACGGGGACTAAGTATGGCCGGCCAAGAGATGGAGGCTTAGGGACAAATTAGGTTCAGATTTTGTGGAGGAAGAAGTGCCAATCAATCCTCTAATTAATCCTCATGCATGTAATTAATTAAGAGGGGATAGAGAGAGGTAGGAGCGGTGGCAAGAGAGGGGATTAGGGGGGAAATTTGTTTCCAAATCTCAATGCTTGTTTTAGGAAAGGAGATAAGGAGGTGTGGGGTTAAGAGATTCTGCCAAGGAGGGATGAGAGGAATTTGAAATTATTTCCGAAAAGCAAAGACTTGGTTTTATGAAAGAAATAAATGGGAATTAATGGGATAGGGGGCCGGCGGCATCCATAGAATGGAGATGGATTTATGGAGAGCAATTAATGTTGCTTGATTTGGATTTGAATATTTGGAAAGGGCTCTTCAAATCTAATTTGAATTTTAAATTCAAATAAGATTCAATTAGGAAACTTTCCAAAAATAGGATACGTAAATTAGGAAACAATCAAACTCAAATTAAATTTGAATTTGAATTAAGTGAGTTTCCTAACCTAGGAGGACCCAAATGGAAAGGTTCGTCACAAGCAAAAGGGGGGAACACAAGGAGGCCGGCGGCTTGACTGGGCTTGCCGCCGGGTTTGGGTGTGGTGGGGGTGGGATCGGGTGAGCAAAGGAAAGAAGGGTTGGGTGTAACCAATAGGGAGGAAGTTAAGTGGTGGGGGTGGAGAGTGAGGTGGCCGGCGGCAAGATGTGGGAGAATCTTGGCCGGCGGCTAGGGGTGGAAGAAGTTAACGAATCACGAACCCGGCCGTCTCCAAGGTTGGTGGGTGATCCGATCTCCCTCTCCTAGGAATTTCCCCTCGAACACTCAAACGATCTCACAACTAAATCAAAAGGAAAAAAAAAAACTTATCATTTATTCATTAACTTTTGAAAGAGAAACATGGGGCTATAAATAGCCTCGTACGTAAGACTCAAAATAGCAAAGACGACAATGCCCTCGGGGCTCACATGTGACATCCTTTACTAAAAGGGTACAACGGGAAATAAAACAAATACAACAACAACATAAATAAGAAAATGCATAAAATAAATTAAAAATACAATGATTCAATCGTGATCGTAGATCGGAGGCCACGCCTCTGATAAACCTTCCATGATCTAATGTCCCCATCATTTGGTCTACCTTACTAAAAGAGCCAAAAGAAAATAAAGCTAATTACATATTTGTAAACCACTTTTTCAGTGTTATCAATCTTGGCAATTTTGAAGTTCTTTTCTTCTTTGGTAGATTCTAATATTGGAAGCCTATTCTTCACATCTAATATATGGATCTAATATCATTTGCTGATTTCTAACACATACTTATGGATATAAGTATAAATCTCTTTTGGATTCCACCACCAACCCCCCCTTTATCGCCAATATCTACCGCCTTATGAGAAAATTTGGGATATATCGCCTGCTACAGTAACTACTACAATACCATTGCTACAGTAATTGCATTTTCTATAGTGTCAAAAAAAAGTTGGCTTTGACTGGGTTTATGTTCCGTGTTCAATGTTATGGAAGAGGCGAGTGGGGGCTAGTTCATTTGAAGGAGAGATTGGCTAGAGGCTTTGGGTGGAGAAGCTATGCAACCAAAGGAGCAACTGGGTGTGTGGCTTACATGCGTAAGAGAAGAGGAAGGGTGACAGTTCGGTTGGCTATATGCGAAGCAATTTGAGAACATACCCTGATTTTTTTTTCTAGAGGGAGGGGCTGCTGCTATGTGAAAGTCTAAGAGGACCAAAATGAGCTTAAAATAGAGTAGGCATGTTTTTTGTAAATTTTTGTCTTTTGTTTTTTCTTGTCTTTTTTGGCATTTATCCTATTATTCTCTTGATCAACTATTTAGAAGCAATGGGACAAATAGGGTACCAAATATTCAAATTTAGTTCCTTAGACAACCCCACATGAAAATTAAAAAAGAAAGCAAGAGAGAAAGAGGGATAATTTTAATTTTAAATAGTATACATATAATTTATAAATATTACTTAAAAATTAAAACTATTCAATCTATTGAGGCACACCAAACAAAGCCCGATTCAAAAACAGGAACTTATTCAACTCGTCTTGATGATTTGGATGTGTTCATGTGATCCATTTCATGAGAAGCCCCATTCAAAAATTTTTGCATGGGCAAAAAATTCATACAATCGAAACTTCCTGTGTGCGAAACTGTCTGAAAACTTAAAAAAAAATCATTTTTGCAGTTGTCACATGCATCCTTAAACATGATGATGAACACTATACAACTCATGGAATCCTATTTCGAGCACGATGGCGAATCGGCGTGATTGCGAGTAACTCAACCTATCTTCACATATGACTTCGTGTGAAGAATGCATAGATCAGACTCGTTTGATGGCTCTCAAGGCCAATGACGATCATGATCTACAAAGGACTATTCTACGAAGTGCATAGATGAGTTTAAGGAAGGTTTGTGCTAGCAACGTGGTCAACAACCAATCAACTCATGATCCAATAGTCAAATTGGTTCATTGACCACAGATTTGAGAACTTAGATGATAACATCACCCCACCTAAAACTAATATTATTATCATACAAACAAAATAATAGAGAACCAAAACCGTCTTGAAAACTGAAGCAGCAGGATATTTTCATCATGAAAATTGAACCAGAAGTATAAGTTACCATTTACCAAGGGATCACAATACAACAGTAAGGCTTCGTTTGGTTATTTCTTACTTTTGTAAAAGACAGAAACATTGATTCTAAAAATGGAGTTTTCTAACGAAGAAGCATATATATAAAGCTTTCTCAAAACAACATAAAAATGAAGAAAAAGAAGTTATTGGGAACGTGATTTGACGAACCAAACAGTAAAGATGAAATAAATTTGTCATTTTAAAACGGAATAAGCACCAAAAACTCCCAATCAAATGAAGCCTAAGTGGCTCATTCAAAAACATGTTCCATCAAGAATCTGATCATAAAGCAAGGGCCAATTCACTTAATGACCCAACTTAAAGCCCAACAGTGAACCACATAGCAAGGCACTACATAGCCATGGTTGAAGGGAACCAACAATGACCATCAATAGTAACAGTAATGCAATAATAAAACCAACAATAGACCAACATTGATACAACCAAACAAGCGCTTTAATTAGAGAATTCAATCCTTTCTCTGTGGGATTTATCATGATATAGTCATGTTTATGCTAAGATAAAGTAAGAAAATCAGAAAAATATGAAATAAAAACAACTAAAGCAAACCAAAGTTAAATATTGCTCAGATCATCAACTTTCTCATCTCAATGCACTTTGTGTTTCTAACAATTTCTTAAAAAACAATGGTTTGTGTTTCTGGCGAGTGTAGGCTTTCAGATATCCATCAAAATTTTTACTAGAATGATGTTAAAACATGGAAACTTCATAAAAGATTTAAAATCTAATCATCCAATACAATATTACTTTGAAAATAGTTCGTCTGTGCAGAGAAACCCCCTTATCTAGGTGGGGTAGGTGTCAATTAGTGCGCTTCTCACCCTTACATGCCACTATGGAACTATGGCTATATGGTTGGATTGTTTTCGTCAAAGAGAAAGCTTGCACATCTTTTTATGGCCATGCATACATCATGCATTTAGTTGGAGTAGTGTGGTGTATTGGATAGATTGTTGGGATGGGGGTGTATATGGATGGAGATAGAGGTGTCAAAAATAGGTTGCAGGTTGGGTTCAGGTTGAACCTGACAATGACCCGTTGCTGTTCTACATGACCTGAACTCGAACCAATCATCAAAAATCCGGGTCAACCCGACCCATCACGATTGTCCTAGGTCGGGCAAAAATCGCATGCGAAGTGGCGAACGCGGACGTAGGCGCATGGGTTGGAATCGCGACGAGTGGGACATGGCATGGTGCGACCTGATGCGGTCAGGGCTTGCTGCACAGGGGTTGGAATTGTGGCGGGTGGATCGCGAGCGGTGTGACCGGACGCGGAATTATGCGTGGTTAGGCTTTTAGGGCTTGCTGGCGGTCGGCGGGAGTGGTAATCCGGTTTGGTGCGGAAGAAGTATGGACGAGCGCGAGCGCTTGCTAGGCACCATAGGAGCCGAGCAACGTGGGCAAAGCAGGGTCAAGCACGTGCGGGGTGATGTTGGGTTTTCGGGTTGACCCGAACCTGACCTGAATTTGCAATCGGATCAAGATTTTTAAATCCAAACCCGACCCGTTTCTTAAACGGGTTGAACATAACCCGGAATTTTCTAATCAGGTTTTTGAATCGTGTCAAATATTGACACCCCTAGATGGAGATTGTGGTGTTTGGTATCATAGAGAATAAGTTATGAACCTTTAAATCTCTAAGCATCATACCCATCTGGCTCTATGTAATACTATCACTGTTAATTATAGTGACATTTCATTGGTTGTTATGTGCAATATGTTATAAATTACTTGATGTGCAATTTTTTCTTGTCTCATATTAATTATGCTTCCGTGAGGGTTTATATTTGAATCCTTGCAGCGAGAAAGACTTTCAACAGCCACTAATGATGAATCTACCAAGCTTAATTTGAAACCAATCATATATTTTCATACTTGGAGAGTTGGTAAAGTTCCTTTTTATTCCTTTTATGATTATATAAATTGGATTGTATCGCTCAAACTATTTTCTGATTACTTAATTGTCATTTCTATGATGTAGGTTTTCTTTTCTTTGCTCTCGGGAATTGCCTTAACTTCCTTTCTTTCGCATATGCTGCTCAGGTTATTGTCTTACTCATCAGCATTAAGCTTGTTTTTTATTTTTGAGAATCACACATGCTTTGTAATTTTTTTGTTTAATTTGTCAAAATGAGAGTAACATTTTTTAATGTCCAATTTCTAACGTGTTGCTTAATCATTTTGTCATGAGCATATGAGATTTTGTAGGTTTGACAACTAATATAACAAGCAATGTAATTTTATTATTTAGATTGTCGAGGCAAATGAGAGTATTATGTTAAGTCTCACAATGAATATGTGAAAGATATGTTGGTATTGAACTGACAAGTGATTGTTCAGAGTCTATATGCTTAAGCTTTTGTGTTAAAAATGGATTTATCTATGGCTGGTTTTATGGTCACTTTTATTTGGCACTCCCTAAAATGTGTTATTAAACTTGATGGCTCTGTTGTGATCGAGTCCATGTGTTTATTTTTTTTTACTCGCATAGATCTTAACCGCTTCTGCCATGGTTGACAAAGCTTTAAGCATGGGTGACTTCCCTGCCAAGCTTCATGTTGTTAAGTCAATCTTGATGCAGAACATTTTTTTATACTAGCTTCTATTTGATAGAGAGTGATAGCTAATTTAGAGAGCTCATGTAAGTTTGACTGTGGGAGACTAAGATACATGAGAGTATTGAGTTTAGTCTTATACTGAATGGATGAAAAATATTTTAGTGCAAAAGTAGCAACAAGTGATTAGCCGCACCTATAGGCTTAAGCTAAAATAGGTTTTGCTAGTGGTTTATCTAACCCAACTTTTATCTTACTTTTATTTTCATCCCCTAACATAGGTATGCAAAATTTGTTATGGAACTGGGTAAACTTGATTAATTATTAGTTTTTTTTTTTCCGTTAATCCTATACTATTTATATATATTTATCATCACCACCATATGCTAGATGAGTGGAGAATGAGTGTGTTAATTCCTATTTTTAAGAATAAAGGTGATGCACAAGATTGTGCGAATTATAGAGGAATTAAGTTAATGTGTCATACTTTAAAACTATGGGAGCGAGTTATGGAGCATAGGTTGCGGCGTGATACTAATGTTTCTCAAAATCAATTTGGATTCATGCCGGGTAGGTCGACTATGGAAGCCATACATTTATTAAGAGGTTTGATGGAGAAATATAGAGAAAATAAGGAGGATCTACATATGATATTTATTGATTTAGAAAAAGCATATGATAAAGTTCCAAGAGAAGTGCTATGGAGAGTTCTTGAAAAGAAAGGAGTTAATAATGCTTATATTCAAATCATTAAAGATATGTATGCAAGAGCTATTACTTGTGTTCAAACACAAGGTGGTTTGACCAAGTATTTTCCTATTTCGGTTGGATTACATCAAGGATCATCCTTAAGCCCATATCTTTTTGCTTTAGTCATGGATGTTCTCACTAGACATTTGCAAGAGGATGTACCTCGGTGTATGCTTTTTGCTGATGATATTCTTCTTGTTGATAAGACTATAGAGGAAGTTGAAGACAAACTTGAATTATAGAGGTCAACCTTAGTGTCTAAAGGTTTCCTCTTGAGTAGATCTAAAACGAAATATATGGAGTGTAATTTTAGTAGTAATAGACATAGTGAGGGGATTGTGACTTTGGGCGATCAATTTATTAATAAGTGTACACGTTTTAGATATATGTGATCTATTGTTCAGAGTGATGGTGATATAGATGGGGATATTATCAGCAGAATTCAAGTTGGATGGTTGAAGTGGAGGAATGCATCGGGCTTGTTGTGTGATAGAAAAGTACCTCTCAAACTTAAGGGAAAATTCTATAAGATGGTGGTGAGGCCTACAATGATTTATGGTGCCGAATGTTGGCCATTAAAAGAGAAGCATAATACTAAGTTAAGTGTGGCAGAGATGAGGATGCTTAGGTGGATGACTGGCTTTATCCTTAGAGCTGAAAGTTGCATTTGCATTAACTAAAAGAAAAGGTACAAAAACGGTATGGAAACAAAAGCTATGTCCTCCCACAACAAAAGACAAAAGGTGGGAAGGGCTAATCTAGTGAAAGTAAATTCCATACATGTATGACAATTAAAAGAAAAAGCACTAGAAGAAGCAAGGATCAGCCCCTTTGATTTGCAAAGAGACCATCCCCAAAAGCATGCCCATGAAGATCCAGTAGTGTTCAAAGAACAACTCCAGAGGGGGGAGATACTGAAAAGAGGGGTCAACATGCCCGAAGGCAGAAAGGTATCCCATTGCTCCAGAAGCCGTTTGAACACTACCGTCACCCTAAGGCATGAAAACGGGTAAGGCCTCATTGTTCCTCAAAGGGGACAAAGTCCCCGCCAGTGTCGTCTTGAAGATTCTTCCGCCTCTTGCGGGGTAGCGTGGCAATCGGCCCCAACTATAACAACTGTTTCTCCAAGAATGTCTTTGGTGCCTTGTGTTGTCGCTTAGTAAGATTAACATCCGAGGAGGAAGGGATTTGGGCTGCCCGCTCAGCAATGAAGACAACTTTGAGGTCCTTAGTATGGAGGCTACTCGAGTTGACAATCCTGTTGGAAACATCCTCCATTTGCTTAAGTTGATCCCGAACAACTTGAGTTTGGGTACCCGACCTGCTAGGCTGCACATTCAGACGTATGGGCTTTATCCTTAGAGATAGGATACGAAATGAGCATATACATGAAAAGGTTGGAGTAGCTCCAGTAGAAGATAAGATTAAAGAGAGTCGCGTTAGATGGTTTGGTCATATAAAACGACGGCCTTCCGATGACCCGATTAGGAAAGTAGAGGTATTAGATTTGACTTATGTTAAGAAAGGTAGAGGCGGACCTAAAAAGACTTGGTTAGAAAATATTAGGAATGACCTTTATTTATTAGATTTAAACGAGAATTTGACTTTTAATATGACACAATGGAGAAAAAGGATTCATGTAGCCGACCCCACCTAGTGGGATAAAGGCTTGATGTTGTTGTTGTTGTTGTATCATCACCACCATTATCATCAACAATTTAGGGTCTTATTTATGAATATGTTAGACCGGTCCATTTATATATATTTATCATCACCACCATTATCATCAACAATTTAGGGTCTTATTTATGAATATGTTAAACCGGCCCAGCGCAACAAAGGCGGAACTTCTCTGTCTCCTGCGCATGCCACGGATGGTGCGAGATCCATGGGAGTTATTTTGGAAGGCTTTTTTAGGGAATTGGAAGGGAAATTTGAATGTAGTGACCGTTTAGGGATTTCCTTTTGATTTGCCTAGATTAAATAGTTTGTTTTCCTAGGGTCAGGGCATCTTCAAGTTGGGTGAAATTTGAGATCCTTTTGCTTTTCTTTGGGCTCTAGCGCGTCTAGAGATTTGGGAGAGATAGAACCTCCTCTTGAATAGAGGATCACTTGTATCTTATTTGTTTTTCTTCCGTTAGTTGTTTTCTTCTCCATAAAATGTATGTTTTCTCTATTTTTTCAAATGAATTCGTACAGATCTCTCGTTGTTTTCCATAAATTGATAGGATCTACTTGAAATCTTCAAGTGTTTCCTATCAGAATCATCTTTCTCCCTTTTTTATCAAGTGTTGCATCAAATGTTAAATCTATATAGCATTGCATACCTTCTTTTCATGTGTTGCTGGTTTGAACCCTCCATCTCTAATCCTTTGGCATCAACTTTTTCTACTCATCTTATTTCTGCTATGAACATTGATTTTGCATTCTGCAGTAACAACTAAATTGGTGCTTTCTGGAAGCTTTGTTTATCGTCCTTCCTTTGACGTTAAAAGTCAACAAAAGATTGTTCGTTCGGAAACTTTCATCAGTTTCATTGTGTTGTAGCTTTTTTAAAACATAATATATATATATATATATATATGATGTATGGTCAATAAAATCTTTCTAGTGAAAGGTAGCATCTTGATTGGTGTCTCCTTAGGGTGGTGGTGAAGGGGTTGTTTAGGTGGTTATGACATGGGTATTCAAGGGTTGGAGAATTTAGTGTTGAAACTTATAGGCTACTAAAAAGCAAATTTTCTTTGGAGGAAAAGAAGGATAAACCCCATTTCAAAGTTTTGCGATGTTAGGAAATTAATATTGGTATTTTTATGAATTTTAGATTGGTGAAAGAGAGTTGTCATATTTTGTATTTAGTTGCTCACATAAGGATATTGTCTCTCTTTATTAGGGTTTTGGTTAGGTTATCTTAGGGTTATTAGGAATTTTAGGCCTTAGGCAGTTATGAGTGTTTGGGAAAATTTTGAAGAGGTTTGATGTATTTTGGGGTTGAGGGAAGCTAGGCCTGAGAGTGGAGGATATGAGAATTGTGTTGGGAACAAGGAGGAATAAGATTAAGAAATGAGCAAATAAAATCCTATCCGCATAGAACTTTGGAAAGGCTTATGAGCAAATAAAAATTATTACAATAATTGATGATTTGTCCTAATACAATGTGAAAGAAAATAAAGAAAATAAAATAAAAGTTAAAGCTTCCAAAGCTATGAAAATTTGAATTGGCCACATAATGCAAGAAAGGTTGTCCTTAAATCTAGCAATTTATGAAGATTTTATTTCCTTGACTGGTATGGTCACATACCCATCAAAGGACCTTAAATTAAGATTATTGATTATTTTTCAATAAATTTAAAGAGATTACAGGTGTCCAGGGGCTTGCATGGAGAGTTGTGCATAATGAATGAACCAAATTTGAATACAATGCCTTAATTTATGAACTTGTTATTGGCCTTTTGTTTTGTTGATATATCAGTAATCTGAAAAAAAAAAAAGCCAAATACTTTTTGATGTAAAACTTCACAAGCATCAAAGGTATGCTGTAACCAATTTAAGTAAACACGTTAGCCAAATTTGACAAATGTGGGATCAAATAGTTGCATTAAAGTTCAACACAAATTCACAATCATCATCTTATTCTCTACAATAGGGTAATTATTCTTTTGTACAGAACTTTGAAAGTTCATGGTTCATGTGCTGAATTTTGTTAGGGCAAACTCTGCAATATAGGAATGGTGGTTATTGCAAGTTACGTTTTTTATGCTGATCTAATTATTTCTTGTTCTTGCCATCCCTCATAAAGTTTCATAGATTCGGATATATCATGGTCTGAAAAGGTTTTTTGCTATCTACTTTTCTTGTTTCTATATTATGTCCCGTTCCCTCTATTAAATGCTGTATAAAATTGTAAATATATCAGTTAACGTATTACATTTTCTTTTTTTCTCTTTTTTTTTCCCCTCTCTTTTGCAGTCCCTCCTTGCAGCTTTGGGGTCAATCCAGTTTGTATCTAACATTGCATTTGCTTACTTTGTACTGAGTAAGACCGTGACTATCAAGTATGTTATCCTCGAGATGCCATTAACTCCACGAGAAAACATGTTTAAGGATAACAAAATTATTGTAAAAGCTGAACTCATAATCCTAACTTATGTGTAGGGTTTTGGCGGCCACAGCTTTTATTGTTTTTGGCAACATCTTCTTAGTTTCTTTTGGCAATCACCAGTCACCTGGTATCAACTCTAGCCTTATAATGTAAAAACGAACGCATTTGGTTTAATTAATTCATTGGTCAGTAGAAGTAGTTTAATCTTTATCTGCTTTCATATTTATCCATTCAGAGATATTCTAGTGATGTAAGTTCTGCTATCATTGGGAATCTAATTAGCAGATTATCTCACAGCTTTTTATTTTGCCAGTGTACACTCCAGAGCAACTTGCTGAGAAGTATAGCAATCTTGTGTTCCTTCTTTATTGTCTGTTGCTGATCGTAGTGGTTATAATTAATCACTATATGTACAGGTGAAGCGTTGTTTGTTTGTTATACTGAGGTTTCAAGTAGGAGGTAGCTTCTGAATGAGTTGTTTCTGCATTTTGTATGTCTTATATCTAGTCTCTTTGTGATTTATTTATAGGACATATATATGATGCTCACTAATAATAATTTCTGGAACTACTAGGAAAGGAGAAGCCTGCCTCTCGGTGTATGGGCATGATTTTAATCCTTATTGGAGAATGATATTGCCATTTTCCTATGCCATTGTGTCCGGCGCTGTTGGGTCCTGCTCAGTTTTATTTGCAAAATCACTGTAAGTTGTTCAGCCATGGAGAATTTAAAAATAGATTTTCTGAAAGCCTCCAATGTAACACCCCACAGTACCCCTTAACAGTAAGGTAGAGTGTAACAAGAATAAATATAACATTTCCATCACTAAACATCTCATTCATCTCATTACATTTCAACTTCATATAAAAGATCATATAAACCTCATCTAATATAATAAATGAAGCATCTACCAATTCTCAAGTTTCATCCAAAACTTAGTACATAGCCACTAAGAAAAACCAAACAAATTCAATGTAATACATGTCTAATTTGCTTTCATATTTTGAAAAGTAAACTCACTAACAAATGTAACTTTAACAAGAAAAGAAGAAACACTTTTATAAATTAGCTTGCATCAATCTTCTCTTTTTTCTTTCCTGTAACAACAGCCAGAAGAAAGTTCTGATGAGCTGTGAGGCTCAGCAAATAAAGCAGAATTAATTAGCAATTAAAATAATATAACATGAATAATTACAATATTGAAATTATTATTGAAACATTACAAGTCATGATCAATATTAGGCTTTGCTATATTTTGAATTTTTGTTGAATATAAATTTTATGTTAAAGATTTGTGATGTGAAACAATCAAGAATTGCACGCGAAATTTATAATGAATCACAAAGTATACGAATTTAAGATTAAAATATCGTAAGGTGAGGTTCAAGAATTCTCAATTGTTAAAGTTGTTATGATAAGCACTTACAACTAGTTCTTTAGGCACAATTAGCGATAACTCTCGAAATTATCACAATAAGGCAAATGCGGAGTAAAATAGAATCCCACGGCTAATATTTAGAAATTTTACAATGAGTTACCTTGCTCACTCACACTCAAGTAGAGCTTAGCGGGAGAAAGTCTTCAGCAAACCCAACGATGCCACGAGGATGGTAGCAAACCCAACGGCCTTGAACCACGGAAAAGTTGACGGTGGCGAGGACGGCGGGAACGATCGACAGTTGATGCTCCAATCGTAGCTTGGACTTCGGCGGTCGATGATGTCGGCAATAATCGGCACAACTCGTTCCAAATACTCTTCCACGATGGAGTCGTCTTCAAATCCCACGTCAAAGAATGAGGATCGTAGGATGTTAAGGCTTCCGTCGGCGTTGAATACTAATCCCCACTCAAACTCCGGATCCTCCATACATGCTTGTCGTTGGAGAATCCTTCAAGGAGAAGAGTATTAAATGGCGGTGAGGGAGAGTCCTTGCGTTGGAAGGAGGAGGAGGAGAGAGGAGTCGGCAGGATTTCCAAGGGGAAGGGGGAGTTCGGCCATGGTGGGGAGAGGGGCAGGTGTTTTGTGAGAAGGGATTTAGGTTGGGTGAATGTAGCAAGAGATTTACTAAAATCTGAAATTAATCTCAGGTTTTAGTAAATTTGGAGGGAATTATTTGAAAAGAATTTCAAATGTAATTAAGGGGGATTAATGAGCAATTAATGGGGCTCATCAAGGAGGGTGTCCGGCGGCTCTTAGAGGGAAGGAGGAGGTTTAAAAATTCTTAAAACTGAAAGTTAATTTCAGTTTTAAGTAATTTAGGAGGGAAAAATCTTTGAAATCAAATTATGATTTCAAAACGGTCAAGGCGTTAAACAAGCAATTAATGGGGAATTTCTTCATGGGGGCCGGCGGCATGCATAGAGGGAGAGAGGGGAATTCAAGGGAAAACGGCTTCCAATTTAGGATGATGACGTGGCAATAGTTTTCATAACTCCAATTTAAATCATATTGAAGTTGTATTCCATCATGAAAACCTTCCTAAATTGGAGTTCCAAATTAGGAAAGAATTCGAAATTTGAAATTTGAAATTTCAAATTTGAAAATTGTGTAGGGAAGGGGTTGGGTGGGTGAGGGGAAGTTGCCGGCAAGGTGGCCGGTCGGGGTTGAGGTGGTGGTCGGCGACGGGTTCCCAAGGGGCGGCGGCAATGGGGGTTGAGGAGGGATTTCTTGTAGTGGAGGGGAATGAGATGGAGGAAAACACGAACGAGAAGATAGAAGAATTTAACCACGAGCTGCGGACTCTTCCAACGACTGGTAGGCCTTGCGAATTGCTCCCCTTGAGCTCTCTCTCTTCTCAAGCTCTCATGCAATAAGAAGAAGTAGAAACAAAACCATTTTCATTCCAATATTCATTAACCTTTTACAAAGCATGAGACCACTATATATAGGTCTTTCAACATAAAGAAATGAAAAATACTCAAATGCCCTTCGGGCTACAATAAGACAACATTCCCCATAGGGGTAAACTAGGAAATGGAAATGCAAACTAAATAAAACATGAAATACATCAAAAGTAAAGGCTTTGAATCGTAGCCGTCGATCTGCGTTGTCTCCGGCGATACACATGCTTGAACCTCTGATCGATGTCCACATCATTCTCCCCAGGAGGGAGAAAGCTCGACCCCGTCGAGTAAAAATCTCTGGAGCTCTCGTACATCTCTAGGAGATCTGGATCCAAACTCTGCAGCTCCTCTCGATCTATCCACGTGTCCTCTGTCGCCGGCTTCCCTTTCCAGTGCACCAAGTACCTTTGGCAACCACCTTCTTTCGTGGAAATGATTTCATCGTCAAGTATAGCTTCGACCTTCTCCGCAATGGGTAAATGGGATAAATTGGAGAGTGCAGGTAGGCTGGGGATCTCACTGGGTGGGTTCTCACAAGACTTATTATGAAGTGGATTATCAGGGTTAAACTCGGATCCCTCGAAAGCTACTAAATCTTCAACATTAAACGTAGGATTCATATTAAGGCCTTCAAGAAGGTCTAACACATAAGCATTACTGTTTACTTTCAAGATTATCTTAAAGGGGCCCGCACTTCTTGCATGTAACTTTTTAACGGCTCCTTGGGGGAATCGCTTCGGACGAATCCGTACCATAACAAAATCTCCAATTTCAAAATCTTTAAATCTCTTCTTACAATCAGCATCAATCTTATAGCGAGTATTACTTTGTTGTATTCTTTTATTTATTTCTTTGTGCAATTCTTGAAGATGAGATACGAATGCAGATGCAGACTATGAAATTCTAACCTTAGGACTCATGGGAATCAAATGAATGGGCTGTTTAGGTAGGTAACCATACACGACTTCAGCAGGACTTAGACCCGTAGATCGGTTTACAGAGTTGTTGTAGGCAAACTCAGCTATAGGTAGTTTAGAGTCCCAGTCCTTAATATTCTCTCCTACCAAGGTCCTTAAAAGATTTCCTAGGCTCCTATTCACTACTTCGGTTTGGCCATCCGTTTGGGGGTGAAAAGCAGTGGAGAATTGTAATTTAGTCACCATTTTATGTCATAGCGTCTTCCAAAAGTAACTAGTAAATTTCACATCCCTATCTGACACGATGGTCTTGGGTAGGCCGTGAAGTCTAACAATTTCATCAAAATACAGCTTAGCTATTCTAGAGGCGTCAAAAGTTTTGGAGCACGGGAGAAAATGGGCCATCTTAGAAAATCTATCTACGGCTACGCATGCTGAGTCATGCTTCTTAATGGTCTTGGGTAACCCTAAGACAAAGTTCATGCTAACGTCTTGCCAAGGTTGGTTAGGCACGGGGAGAGGTGTGTAAAGGTCGGTGTTTTGCTTTTGTTGTTTGGCCAATTGACATGTGTGACACCGCCTTATTAATTTGCTAACGTCCCTCTTAAGACTCGGCCACTAAAATTGATTTTCGACCGCTGCAATGGTCTTGGCTTGCCCAAAGTGACCCGCTAAACCTCCAACATGTAATTCCCAAACAAGAAATTCTCGAAGTGATGTATTGGGAATGCAAAGTTTTTGGGACTTAAACAAGTATCCATCTTCCAACATAAAATCTCCTACGATACGTTCATCTCCAGTTGCTAACTTAGAGTAGGTTTCTCCAAAATCGGGGCAGCCTGAATAGTCTTCCTTAAGTTGCTCGAAACCTATCACTTCCGTTCTCATCTCACGAGCAACCATCATCCTACAACTTAGTGCATCGGCAGCCTTATTTTCTGATCCCGCTTTGTGCCTAATGGTGTATGTGTACTCTTGTAAGAACTCAACCCATCTTCCATGTCGGGCATTCAGTTTCTTCTGTGAATTGATATATCGTAGCGCTTCATGGTCTGAGAAGATAACAAATTCTTGGGGAAGCAAGTAATGTCTCCAGTATCTGAGGGATTGAATTATAGCGTAAAATTCCTTATCGTAGGTGGAGTATCGTTGCCTAATGTCATTTAACTTCTCACTGAAGTAGGCAACCGGGTGTCCTTCTTGTGATAATACTCCTCCTATGCCTATACCAGACGCGTCACAAGTTACTTCAAAAACTTTAGAAAAGTCTGGTAGACGCATGACTGGTGCTTCAACCATTTTTCGTTTTATTTCCTCAAAAGCCTTTGTAGCAGATGTCGTCCAGTTAAATTCTCCTTTCTTCAAACAATCGGTTATGGGACCCACTATGGTGCTAAAATTCCTGATAAATCTCCTATAAAACGTGGTCAGTCCGTGAAAACTCCTGACATCTCTAATATTCTTGGGTTCTGGCCATTCATTGATTGCTCGCACCTTTTCGGGGTCAGCAGATATGCCTTGGGAAGAAATGATAAATCCCAGAAATGTTACTTGATTTGTTAGAAAAGTGCACTTCTTAGGATTGGCATACATTTGTTCATTCTTCAAAATTTCACAAACTTGTTTTAGATGATTCAAATGCTGTTCGACCGAACGACTGTAGATCAGGATATCATCGAAGTATACTATAACAAATTTTCCAAGGAATGGCCTAAGGATCTGAGTCATAACTCTCATAAAAGTGTTAGGTGCGTTACTCAATCCAAAAGGCATTACAGTCCATTTGTACAGCCCATCTTTGGTCTTAAAAGCAGTCTTCCATTCGTCTCCTGGGCGTATCCTAATCTGGTGCTAGCCACTTTTGGGATCTATTTTCGAAAAGAGTGTGGCTGCAGTCATCATGTCAAGCATATCATCTAAACGAGGGATATGAAAGCGGTAC